TATAAGATATGGTATTAATTTTCATATATTTTCCTAGCCATGAAATTTTGTACCCCCCAAAAAAAAACATATTTAAGAACCTCATCATAATTGTCATGATAATGGATCCACGAGATTAAAATGATTTCAAATTCGTCATAAAATATTCACACGGCATTTTTTCAGTCAAAAAGATTCACAGCAGACTCATTTTAAAACGGCAGTGCAGAACAATTCGAATATTTTATCAAAATTGATAAGAACATGTTAACTAATTAAACTATAAGCTTTACATTTTCCCATCAAATATCACTGCAAACTAAATGTTCGTCTAGTCAATACACATTTGCTGCATTTAGATGTATTATATCGTTACCTATTAAAAACGTACATGATTAGATGTAAAACAAGAGAAATAGATACTAAAATAGAAAACTTTTTATTATTATTCATAAACAATCATTGATTAGTTGTTTGATTATGTATAAAGTCAGACAAAACATGTATTGTTGTGAATAGTTTTATTCTTGAACGAAATATGGATTTCAGTTATAAATTGTTTAAACATTTAAAATCGCAGGGGTGTTATATTTTGAGTTTACAACAATCATAAACATACATTTGGTTAAAGTAGTCCAAATCACAGCATATCAATATCAATACTATTGTTAATGATTTATGTTAACAAAAAGTATAACAAAAATATCGAACTTGACCGCACGTGGCAGGGTTTTTATACATCCCTAACCACAAAGAAGACACAAAGTACAGATCTGAGAGTACTAGCAGTTACTGACAGTTAGTTCGAAGCAAATAACAACTATATAAAAAAATAATGTATCCAAGAATAAAATCTCAACAACTTAGGCTGTTTAGATAAGATTATGTGTGCATTGTTTTAATAACAATCCTTTTTTATAAATCAATTGGACTTGACAGAGATCACTTTATTCATTTGGCATGCTTTTGTATCGTACCGAAAGGAAAGTACATAATTAAAACCAAAATAAACCTTTACTTGAATATTCTGAAAAAACTGATACATCTGGATTTGATTTTATTTGATACATTGTAGTTGTCTAACACATGTCTATATAACAATGTATTACAAACTGTTTAAAACAAACTACTGAAGAACAGCAATAAAAGCGCTATTCCTTTGATTTTTTGGATCTTTGCATTGCATGTCGTGTCATGGATAAATACCCCTTATCCTTTCTTTTCTATTATAGTGCTGTAAATAACTGTTTTTTTATAGTCTTGTTTTAAAATTTTATTTCATGATTACTGACAATTAAAAACGACAAATGTATATAATAAAAGGTACTTGTGCAGAAAGTACAATGTTCAGTTATAAATAAGGTCTAAATAAGTTTTAATTAACTCATTAATAAAATAAAAAAATCATTATATTGAAAAGTTCAAATTTAAAAATACAAATATATCTCTTAGCTTTATAAAACCATCCCATAGTGTTTATTTGCAGCAAAAAAAAATGTGTTATAGTTTAATAATTAAATCATATACATTTGTAGCTGTCAGTCCATTTTCGATGCAATTTCAAATTCTCATCAGTGTATTCAAATACAACATTATCATATGGCATATGATTTGTTTTCGCTTAATCGATTTATGACTATTGAACAGCGGTATACAACTGTTGTCTTTCTTTATACTACAACACTATTATCAAAATGCTTTAAATAACAATGAGAGGCGTCAGAAGTTTCATGCTTACCAAATATCTTTACAATGAACTGCTTCTTATTTCAAAAGAGAAATTTATGTATTTTCAAAGGTTACAAAGTTGTTTCGTGTTTTCAACAGACAAAAATTATATAAACTTGAAAGTTGATGGCCAAGACTAGTAATATTTCTCTATATATTTGTGTACGGAAATCAGTATTATGCTACATTGTAGAATGAAATGAAATTCATCATCTTTTCCAAAATAATACAATTTCTTTCATTCATATAAGTACAAACATAAAGTCTAGTTTTAATACAAAGATTTGGTGGGACAACAAACGGATCTTCCAAACACAATTGCCAAAAAAAGTTTAGGAATTCATTTCTGGAAATTAAATTGCAAATCTAACTAGTTGGAAGTAGACCATCATATTTGAGATCGTTCTTTTAACATTTAATAACATTCTAAAGTAGTCCAAATGAACCTTTTCTTTCATAGGACATTTGTGTACTCCCCATATCTCACAACCATAAATTAACATACTACTATCAAAAGTATCAAACAGACTCATAGTTGTTATAGGCTTTGAACTAGCTGTCGAGTACTCTCAGATCTGTACTTAATGTCTTTTTGTTGTTAGGGATGAGGGATGGATAAATATCCTGCCACGTCCAGTTTGTATTTATGTTTGATGTTTTTCTGCTTTGTATCGATCTAATGAGTTAAGCCTCTTTTAACTGATTTTTATAGTTTGTTCTTATGTTGTTACACCACTGTCCCAGGTTAGGGGAGAGTTGAGAGCTCACAAACATCTTTAACCCCGCCACACTCTGTATTTACCTGTCCCAAGACAGGAGCCTGTAGTTCAGCGGTTGTCGATGGTTCATATCTGTCATATTTGTTTTTCGTTACTTGTTTTGCTATACATTAGGCTGTTAGTTTTCTAAATTGAATTGTTTCATGTTTTTCATGTCGGGGCCTTTTAAAGCCGGCTATACGGTATGGGTTTTTCTCATTGTCGAAGGCCGTACGGATACCTTTAATTGCTTACATCCACTTTATTTGAACTTTGGTGGATAAAATGTAGATATCTCATTGGCAATCATACCTGATTGCCAATGAGATAACTACATTGTATCCACCAAAGTTCAAATAAAGTGGATACATTGTAGTTATCTCATTGGCAATCATACCTGATCTCCTTATTTTTATAAGCATTATAAATATGTGTAAACAATGTGATGAAGTTATTCTTCTCATACGAATAATAGCTTTTCTACCTTGTTTTGAACAATGTTTCTGTGTAATAAGAATACACAAAATTAATAAAATTGTTCCACAGTATCCAAGTGTTTACCGGTATAGACCCACGTTTCATTAGGCCGTACTATTCCACCATTCCTAAATACACCAATTTTTTGTTTGTTTTTGTTTTTACAGACAAACCCCATTTTTCTTAGTTAAGTAACAAAGTATTGAACATTTCCTGTAAAATGTGTACAAGTATTGCATCTGATCATGCTGACGAGAAATACCCTCTATTTAATACGACATTGAATATAGCACACACATGAGGCTTAATAAAACCCTGGTAAACAGCAAACAGTCCGAACCATAGCTTTTGTCATTCTTAAGTTCGTGAATTGACATAAAAATCTCATCAGCAGTAATATATGAATCTGACATATAGCCAATGTTAATCACTTCAGGTCTGTTGCTAATATGCACAATTGATAAAAGTTCTTTGAAATATTCAAAAAATCAGTTACGTTTATATCACATTCACTCTGACTCCCCCTAAATAATGAATAAAATTTTTCTCGGATTGTTTTTCTTTAGTTCACACAACATATAGCTTTCTTGTTGCTTATAACTAAGTTAGTAACTCTTGTTCATAACTCTTGTAAGCTTTTTTGGGATTGTCCAGATCAATTTGATTATTATATGATATTATACGGTTAAAAGTATGTAATCTTTTACAGTAATTGGCATATAGCTCTGTATACTTCTGCCAAACCATGGTTTATCTGTATTAATTCTCTGTTTTTGGTATGTGTGCTTTGAATTCGAGTTTACTTCTGCCATTTGTTTAAAAAAGGGAGCTGTTAAACTTATGTCATCAGAAGTAACTAGTATATCATAATGACATGAGTCCCTACTCACAATATTTCATTTGAATGACATGATGTTTAACTAATTTTTGCTTTATATTGATTAAGAATATAACACAATGTTGACTGCTGCACTCCTATTTTCATGACATTTTTCCCGTTATGTCTAGTTGTTTCATTCACACATTGTTGTCAATATAATGGAATTTGATGCGACTGGCATTCAGTTGAAGGGTTTAGCTAACTATAAAATCAGGTTTAATACACTATTGTCTACATAAGGAAATGTCTGTACCAAGTCAGGAATATGACAGTTGTTTTCAAATCGTTAGGTGTGTTTGAGCTTTTCATTTTGCCATTTCATAAGGGAGCTTTACGTTTTGAGTTTTCCTAGGAGTTCGGTCATTTTGTTATTTTATTTTTTGCTTAATTTATCGGATCAGAAATTAAGAAATTGTCAAGAAGTTTCAACCCCTCAGGCAAAGTTGACTTTAGATGTAAGTGACGAGTTTTCATGTCCACATAGCTCTTCATATAGGTAAGTTTTATACATTGCAGGCTTTATTTTAATGTTTGGGTTTGCCTGATGAAGGTAAATCAAGAAAAGTGCATAGGACGAACTAAATTAATAAGTGTTATTTTCGAGGAAGAACAAAAACCAACATGAAGTTATAGAAGCATTATTTCTGGTCTGCATTTTAATGACTTCAAGCTTGCTTCCAGTACAATGCAGTTAATTCACTCATTTTGAATACGGTTTATTTTGTTATTTATCATATGTTTTTGGCATCTGTTATCCGGTATTTTTTATATGTTCACCGGTATTGAATATTATTTATGCATATTGCATACTTGCTTGTTTATTCTTCAAAATAATGTTTTCTTTTAGATTTGTTGTTATTTCTGTTATTTCCTTGATGCCATGATGTCATAATGATGTATGACGACCAACATATCCTTTTCATCAAACACAGTAATATACCAACAGTTAAACCCTTTTCAGCAAAGTGTTTCCTGGACTTCTGTTCTTTTTTTGTCGTTTATATTTTTGCGTTTTTCAACTTATGGTTTTTATTGCTCACTTGATATCGTTCCCTTCTTTTAAAAATACTTCTAATGGTGGTAAAAAACATTTATACAAGGAAACGAAAGATCACAAGGAAGCAATATAATTCACACGAAGCATACATTTTGTATTGTTCAGATGTAAAGGCTTTAAATAGAACAAGGAATACTTTTTTATTCAGTAATTAATTACAAATGTAGAAACAAAAAAAGATAAAAGTAACGATCACACAATGATTATATATGAATGCTGATAAAATCAGAGTTTCCACTAATTGGACACAACGCAGTATTAAGCTTAACTGAAAACAAATCAACGCTACACAGACATTGATACATATTGAAACTGACCAACAGTTATCTATAATTCAGAAATTGGAGGTTGTCCAACGGCTTTTCGAAGATCTTCAACTACTGCAGTCCAAAATAAGTTTTCACCAATTCCTTTTTTGTACCTCAGATGCGGGGTACTGTCTAGTAAAGTACGCAGAGGACTTGTCATGTTTGTCGATGTGATATTTTCAAGCATTACTAAGAGAAGTGCATCTCTGCCTTGTCGACGTCTTCTCTCCTGAATTATATCGACTTCCCACTGACACCATTCGCTTTTAGCAAATGCATTTGATATTATAACAACAACCTTCCACGAATTTTTAAGGAATTTATCAACGTTTCCACTGATAGATTCTCCTACATCAAAGTCTCTGTGATAAATGCAGAACTTAAATCCCTCATTATTTTCAAGTTTTTTGACAAACTGGTCATGAACCCATATTCGGTTTTCATCGCAATAAACAACAAAAGCGTGATATTCATAATCATCGCTATTCACAATCGGAAGATATCCCTGTCGTCTAAACTGTTTAACTTTGAGAAGGTATAAAAAGTTCTTAACATTTGTATTACATTTCAGAAAAATTATCATCGTCGATACTAACAGGCAAACTAATGCAGAAATTGAAATCACAATCAAAAATATTGGGTTGCACGACAAAACGGAAGGTTTGTAATCTTTTAACAAAACGCCATTATAGTTGTCCGGTGTGGTACAATGATAATGATTTGGGTATTGTAAAAGCGTTATATTTGCCTGCCGTAACCAACTGACAAACCATATCTGTTCACAAGTACAAGTAAATGGATTTTTTGCTAAATTCATCGTTTTAAAATTTGCAAGTAACGCAGTCGGAAAAGATGTTTCGTTTACTATTCGTATTAGATTATGACGTAGATCTAGATATTGTAAAGATACCACAGGAGCAAATACATCTCTGCCACATCCATATATTCGATTCTCACTCATGATAAGCGTTTCTATCATAGGTAGTTCTGGAAATACATAGGCAGGCAAAAAACCAAGTCTTGTATTTTCTAAATTAAGATATCTTAACTGTTTCAATGGTGATATTATTCTAGGCAAAATTGTTGACTGTAAAAAATTCCCGCCTAGATCAAGGTGTTCTAAATTATTGCAACTTGACAGCATACTACTTTGCTCTGACACTGATAGACTCTCAAAATGGAAATTGCAATATCTGAGTGATAGCATTTGTAATGATGGTATATTTAAAGCCCCATCTTCAATCTTTTTTAACTGTTTTCCTATAGCTTGAAGACTGAGGTTAGTTAACATCTTTAAATCTGTAAAAGTATTATTATCAATACGACCTATCAAATTATCACTAATTTTCAAGATTTTAAGTCTCGGGAAACATCGAAATTGTCCAATAAATCCAATTTTATTATTGCTAAGAGATAGATATCTTAAACTGGGAAGTGCACTGTTACCATGATTAATACAAAACTTTTGAAATTTCGTTATTTCGTTGCCGTCTAAATAAAGTTTTTCAAGACTGGAAACACGATCAGGTATAATTGTTGCAATTTTATTATAACTGACTTTTAGATATTGTAAGCGAGTCATATTTGAAAACCATGACATATTTAAAACTTGTAGATTATTACTGTTGATGTTTATATCATGTATTTTATTCATGTTTATTGCCTTAAACATATCATGTGGAAGAAATGACCAATTATTGCCTGTTAAGGTGAGTGACCTGAAATGTGCGGTTTCCATATTGTTCAATGCATGCATTACGATTGTCGCTAGCAATAATGGTTCCGATGAGATGGTCAATGCTACTATTGATGTGAAATTAGAAAAAGTATCCGCTTCAAGTTGACGTATTGAGTTGTTCTTAAAATTTAGCTTGAGGATATTATTAAAAGTCAGGTTTGCAGTCCTTTTCTTGGATAGTGTTCCAATATTTCCATTAAGAAAAGTAAATATTTTGACGTTTTTTGGAAATCGTGGAATATAAGTTAGATTTTTACCAGAGCAGACGGCGTCAAAATCTGCACATGTACAAAACTCAACCGGACAATGAATAACATTTTGTCTTGTGACATGTATGAATAAACTAAGTAATGAACAGATATTGATAACTGTCATTTCAATTCTGTGAAATCAGTTACCTGAAGAAGAAAACATATAACATAAAATGTGTGTTCAAATCTTTTGATAATTTACAAACAATACAATTCTATGATGTTTTAGTTTAATTCAATGTAAGACAGACTGTTTTATTTTTGTTTTTATCCCTTTTAATAGTTTGCTTCCTGAGTAACAATCATATTCGGTGCTTCCTTTCGAGACATTCGGTTTCTTCCAGTAAGGAACGCTGGTCGCGATAATATAGTCAAGGGCGCAAACATATGCTTTCCTGTTTCTAAATCCTTCTTTAAAAACCTACTATAACATGTATAAGTTACATTTTCATCGTTGTTTAAATTAATGCTAGTCAGTTTGAATGTAATTAATGAAAAACTTTAGGTAAGGACACAGATTATGTTTAAATCGCAAAAATCTTACCTTCATGATAAAATATGTATAATCAATACTAGAAAACAATAAAACAAGAATAATGCTTACGACGACAAAGCTCGCAAAATAATACTCTAGCCCACTGCAACATCATTTGGCAAAAGGAATTATGTTAGTTAAATTATAAAAAGTATAATATATATGACATTATGATATGAACATTTGGAATTTCAGAAATATTGATATGCAGATTATTTTGATTCTATCAATACACTTTAAACGCATTCTGAATTTGCTGACATTAATGTACATTGATTGTATACGGCATGTATCGATGAAGCAAGTTTCGTTTGAATGCCACAATCATAAAACAAAAATGGAAGACGCTCAAAAAGATAGATATTGGTCCCATAAATGACAATTAATAAGAATACATACTTCTATCTGTTAACTTCAATTCCTCAATTTGAAAAGAACAATTATGCTTAAAATGTTACTGAGTGCTGATGGTTTCACAAAAAAAATATTGTTTCAATTATTAAACTGTTTTGTTAATCATAAATTATGACACTTACTGTATTTAGAATATTGATGCCGACAATTCATTTTATTTCCACTCAATATTTATTGCTTATATGCACTTCCTCATTTACGTAAATTGATATTTAAATAGTTTGATTTATTACATCTGAACATTGAACATTTCCTTAAATGGTAGTAGTTGAAGATGTAAATGTATTTTGATATTTGTGGAACCAAACATTTATTACAAACAAATTAAAAGGGCAACCATATTATTGATCAATAATATATTTCTACATTGATTTTCAAGTTTTTCAGCCTTTTGAATGTGTATTGCATATAATTGAAAGATAAAAAAAAAAACAACCAGCATACAATATACTATACTTACTCATGCAAAAGTAATCTACTTGTTAGATAAATAAGCAATCGAATGTTTCTTTCATCGAACGAATTCTCTTATTTTCATTCATTTGGTTGCTTTTGCTAGTCAGATTTTGCAATTTAGTCCCTTCAAATAACGGACAAACAATTGATTTGCCCATTTACTTGTACCATATGTTCGATTATTATAGCCTTTTAAAAATATGCTTTATGACATAAAATGTCTTTGATCAACTTACTGTATCAACGAAGTGCACCTTTATTTTTATTCTAATTAGACCTCACGATTTTTACATCAGTACATGAGTCGCCTAGTTACAGAGGAGGGTACACATGTGGAGTAGGATTTGATCACCCTTCTGCAGCACCTGATTTTACCCACAGTTTTCTCGATGCTCAGCGATAGTTTTCTATGTTGTATTTTGTATACTTTTATTTATTTGTCATTTGGTCGTTTTTCGTTTATTTCCATGGCGTTGTCAGTTTATTTTCGACTAATGAGTTGAATGTTCCTTTGGTATCCTTCGCCTGTTTTACTAGTTATACATATCTAACACTGATGAAAACTATTGTAGGTAAGTTACGACACCGACACATCGTATCGGTCAGCCAATTCATTGTAATGTCGATTTTTAACAAGCTTCTATTACATTAATTGCCCCAAGCATGCCGAATTCAGAGCTGGAGGAATACAATTATCTGCGATACCAGGTTTATAATTTTGTACCCTTTATTGAATATGTGTTCCCTTAAATGTCAAACAATTAAACTAGATGTAGATTTATTTTGTTAATTTCAACTCCTCAATTCAAAAAGAAATCTTTGCTAACTGCTAATTTGTTTCAATCAAAAAGTAGTGTTTTCATTATTAAACTGTTTAATGAGATTTGAAAATTTTGTACAAAAGAATCATCAGTGACGTTCGAATAAAAAAAGGTAAAAATATAAAAAGAAATTACGAAGGTGACGATCATTAAGGACCCGAAATTCCTTGGGTAGAAGATTCTCAATACTTTTGAAAATTCAAAGTTTTGTAAACAGTTAGTTTATATTAATAACCATATCAATGATAATCGATGTCAGCACAGAAGGGGTGACTGCCGGGCTGTCGCATTTATTTTTAAATTATAATTTGTTTTAATAAAAGAATAATATAAGTACTAAATGTAAACAAAACTTAATGACAAAAATTTTTTAACTTACGGTCACAATTATATGACAACAGTTTTTATTATAACTTCCGTATTTTTACCAATCGATATATAAATAGTTTTATTAATCACACGTAATAGATGGAAAACTTCCTTATATGTTACTATACACATATTGATATTTTTTCAACAAAACGTTTAACGTTTCTAATTGCATATAGAAAGCGAAACCTTAAACTAGTCTAAACCTTGACATATATATTTATCATAAATTCATGTTCATAATAATTTATCTGTTTTTAAATTTAAGTAAAATTAAAATAAGAAAACTCACAAAATACTAACTCTTGCAAAGAAAATCCAATTGTTAGAAAAATTATCGCTAATATTGATAATCACTTATTTGTTGATTTGTAACAACGTTTTGTACAAGATAGTTATTTACTTATACCCTTTTTACATTGTTAAATGTTGAACAAATTCTGTTTAAACAAATTATGAAAAGGGGGAAGTTTGTGTTCAAGGAATATATTTCCCATATCTCTTATTTGATAAATCTAACAATTACTTTTTTTAAATGTTTAATTAACTGCATAACTTTGGTCTGATTTATAACGCTTACTTTATACATGCATTCTTTATAGGGACATATTACCGTAGAAAAAAAACCAAAATGGAACGCCGGTGTTAATCATCTAATTCATATGATCATATGAATTTATTTAAACAGTTTTTTTTTTTATAGAATTCCACTATTTTGGATTCATTTGATTCCTTTTAATGTTCAAATACTGTAATGAATGCCCTTAATTTTAAGTACGAACAATTGACTTTTCCTCTATTCTCCATATATATACATTTCTTAGAGCCTGCAGTGAAATTGTTTTAGAAATATTCTTTTTGACAAGAAAAGCTCCTGGGACAACAAAGTGTCATTTATTAATATTCAATTAGTCTTACCGAGTTTCTCATTCATTTTGTAACAATCATACTTATGTTAATAAATCGCATGTAGAAAAACAATAAAATTGAGAAAGGAAATGGGGAATATGTCAAAGAGACAACAACCCGACCAAAGAGCAAATAACAGCCGAAGGCCACCAATGGGTCTTCAACACAGCGAGAAAATATCGCACCCGCAGGCGGACTTCAGCTGGCCCCTAAATAAAAATTTGTACTAGTTCAGTGAAAATGGACGTCACACTAAACTCCAAAACATATAAATGAACTAACATTAAAAACATACAAGACTAACAAAGACCAGAGGCTCCTGACTTGGGACAGGCGCAAAAAAGCGGCGGGGTTAAACATGTTTTGTGAGATTTCAACCCTCCCCTTATACCTCTAGCCAATGAAGAATAAACAAATACACAGCGATACGCACAGTAAATTCAAAAAGTCAGAATAGGTTACAAAAGAAACTAAGCAAAATGACAATGATACATAAATTAACAAAGGACTTCTAGCAGTTAATGACATGCCAGTTCCAGACCTCAATTAAACTGATTGAAAGATTATGTCTTCATCATATGAAAATCAAGCACAATCCCTCCCGTTAGGGGTTTAGTATCATACCATCATAAAATATATGAGAAGAACATAACTCGTATCATGCCAACAACTGGTTGTAGAATAAACATACCATACAAAGTTGATCCTTGTTATCTCAAATTGCTTGGTATTTCAAACAAAATATCAGCATAATTGATATATTTGCATCACAATTTGCTTCTGATACATTTATATCTCCATATTCCCTAAAATTTCAAACCTTGTTTGCTAATCGGATCAGCACTGATGTTACGAGAGTCGACTGAAAATGGTTTATTCCAATCTTAGAAGCATTTATAATCAATGTTATGTAAATATTGAATACATTGTTTGTTGCTAGTACCAGGAATATATTTGTCTTTATAGGTCGTTTTAGTATGACGACAACATGACAGATACATATATCCAAAAACATCATGTATAAATTGATTTTAAACAAACAAAGAATATTGGAGTTGTCTTATATCGTGGCATACTGTTATTCCATGCATGCATGGACGAAGGCAACTTATGTTAACTTAGTCCATGCTTGCATGGACTAACACAACAGACTTAGTCCATGCATGCATGAGCTAAACTAACTTTACATAGACATTTGAAATTATTCAACGATTCAAGTAGACTTAGTTAACATTAGTTGCCTTCGTCCATGCATGCATGGAGTAAGCTTAGTTCTCAAGTTTTCATGTTTACATATCTTGAAAAGGTTTAGTCATGAAAAGTGTTTGCAATTTATTTCTTAGGGTAAGTTATAATGCACAATATGTCTTTAAAGCATAATAAATAGGTTGAATATGAAAAAATCAACTGAGAAGAAACAAATGATAGTAACATCAAATTAAAAAAAAATCTAACTAACATCATGAAATAAAGCGGTAAGAAGTAATGCAGGTTTTCTAAACTCGATGTTGATTTCTAGTTTTATTTAATACCTTGTTTACAGCAACATTATTTAGTTTTACTTATTTTCAACCGCTTTGATCATGTCACTTTGTTTTATAAAAAAAGAATCCACAGGTGCTATAATGCGAAACTAACAATCCTAACCTTGGTGTTCTACCTTAAATTAACAAAGTTGTTCATTTTCGTTTACAAAATATTTGAAAAAGAAAATGATTTCTTTTGTCGTTTGTTGGTGCGGTTCATATGTGTTTCTCGTTTTTTTTTTATATAGATTAGACTGTTGGTTTCCCTGTTTTAATTGTTTTACACTTGTCTAGTCATTTTGGGGCCCTTTAAAGCTCGATGTTCGATGTGAGCAAAGGCTCCGTGTTGAAGGCAGTACTTTGACCTATAATTGTTAACTTTTTATACATTGTGACTTATACGGAGAGTTGTCTCATATTTTTTTTATGTATATTAAAGTTATAAATTGGACGTTCTATTTCATATTTTCTTTGGAGTACAAACTCTTTACAAAACACGTGAAATTCGACGAAAAGGTACGGTTTTTAGTCTTTTTTCGAGAAAAGTCTCTTTTTTTCGAGTAGCGTGCAGATTTTATCGAGTAAATAAAAATGGTTAAAAATGAACATTTGGTGTATTTACATTTGAAATAATGCAAAGGCTTATATCAAAACGAAAAGCACGTACGATGTATTCATCAATTGCCCTAAACGATTTTCATAATGATGAATTGACCCATTTCATAAAAATTTCGTCTTTATTTGTTTAATGTCTGTAGACCGCGTATTGGTTGTAATTATTAATTTTATTTCACGTGAGGACAAAACATTGTTATTGTTTTGATATAAATGCATTAAATATTGCATATTCATAAGTAAAGGTATGTTAATGACGCATAACTTTTCTGTGATCAGATAACTCGGTCATTCCAGAATAATACACCAATCTGATTGTAAACTACACCCCTTTTTGAATTCAGTCTGTGCATTTATATAATGACAACCATTATTTCCATGATCGTCATGTGAAAGTACTTGAAGATTTGAGAAACTATATGACCAAAATAGAGAAAAACCACGGACGTGTAAATACTTGAACACTT